CCCTTCTTCGGGACGCAGAAGCGATCTGGCGACAGGTAAGTCGCCAGGATTGCTTCTGTTGTAAAGCCGACAGTCGGCTCTACAAGTTTAAACAGAGTCCCGGCGGCAAAAGTCGCCGGGAGTCTGTTTAAACAGCCCCCGATGCTGGCGACGTACACTGTACGTCGTCAGTCACGAAGGGGTTAAACCTGCAGTAGTTGTGATAGGGTCCTGCTAAGTTTCATCCAGGACCCTGAAGCTTTTTGTTACATCTGTGGTATTTGTATAGGGCCCCATTAGGAGTTTGATCTAGGGCCCTGTAGCTTTTTGTTACATCTGTGGTATTTGTATAGGGCCCCATTAGGAGTTTGATCTAGGGCCCTGTAGCTTTTTGTTACATCTGTGGTATTTGTATAGGGCCCCATTAGCAGTTTGATCTAGGGCCCTGTAGCTTTTTGTTACACTTGTGATTGCAGCTACTCAATACACATGAAACTAAATCTTACTTGTAAGCATGTAAAAGTCATTGAGATACAATGGATTCTCCTCCTACAAAACAAAAAAACACGTTTATTAGGATATAAAAGTGACTGAACATTCATACACAGAGCATTTAATAAGGAATGCATATAGTGCTAACAGAAGCTAAGAACATTTAATTAGGAGAATGCGCAGAAATATGTTTGTGTTTAGAAAGAATACTACTGCCCTTGCTTGCAGGACATTTTCTTATAGTGCTTAAGCCAATGTACTTTTAGCATTAAAATGGAAGTTCAGCTTTATTAATGACCCTTTCCTTTTCACTAAGAATGAGCTTCAGGTTTGGGTTGAACAAGAGTTCGATTTGAACCTGGCCTGTCTGCAGTTCAGCGATTAGGCAAACTGGCCATATTTGTTTGTACAAACATCAGCCAGAAGTCTGTCATTTTCCAGGACTTGATTGTTAAAAACATGTTTTTGAATTGGTACATGTCCCCCATGGTAGTGCCCAGCTACACATGCCCTTTTGTAACAAAAGCTGGCCTTGAAAAAGGCCAGAAAAACTCAAGATTTGCCTCCCATAGACTTCACTGGAGTTCAGCATTAAAGTGATATTAAAATATTAAAGCTTCGTGGTTTTTTTTTTACATTTACAACTAGGAGGCCCACCTTTGTATAAAACTTTTGTTCTTCTTTAAAAGTTTTCAGTTCCTCGTTCTCTAGTGGGTCTCCACATCTCTTTGCCTCCCGCCCCCTGCACGGGTGCCTCCATCAGCTAAGCGGCTCCTGTGAAGTCACCCATGCGTGCGAGTTCCCGGCCGTGCCGGCAGTATCTGTGTGCGTCCATAGACACACACAGCACTGTGGCAGGTCACGCCCCCTCCTCTCCGCCCAACAGTTTGATGGCAAAAGGAGCCTATGGCTTCTCTGCCCTTAGTATCCTCCCCCCGCAACCAAAAGTTCAGGGAACGGGGAGAATTGCTTCGGGACCAGCAGCAGTGACAGCGGTGACAAAGGTAAGTGTGGGAGGGAAGAGAGAGAGAAAAAGGTACTGGGTTTTTTTTATTTACCCTAATGCAGAGAATGCATTAAGGTAAAAAAACGTCCAGACTTTAATACTACTTTAAGCTAATTTTTTAACTGAGTTCTGAACTTTGCCCAGAGTACCAAACTTTGCCCAGATCACTCATCCCTACTTATCACTTGTGAACATTAAATGAAATAGCCCATTTTGCCCAGGTTTAGATATTGCTCACATTCTCTAGATCCCTCCAGCAATACTCCTTGTACCCTGGTATCTTTGTACATGCATTGTATTGGTCCACAGTGCATGCATAAGGTTTAGACATGATTAACTTCTACCTCATGTATGCATGGAGAGAATTAAACCGTGCTATAGAAAGCTAGAACATTCTCCTGCCCTAGGCAAGCTGGCCAGTTTCAGACAAGAAATCCATAGATACAAATGATGAGGACCTGGAAGGAGTGGGAGACAGGTATTATTTAGTAATAAAAGTGAGCTTACTCTTACTGTAGTGCAGCAACTTCCAATATATGGATAGAAAGCGTTATGGTAATTCTGATTGATTGATATCAGTAACAACCCTAATATTGTTCCCATTTGTTTTGGTTACCATTGTTTTCTAAAACCAGATCCAATATGCACTACTTACTGATTAATAGTGTGACCCCCTGTTCTTGTTTATTATCACAGTGTTACATTTATGATAAGTTTCCAGTCCATAATCTTTGAGACTATTTAAAATGACTTACATTTATGGCATTTTTTTAAGTTTATTTGCTTTTATTTGTAAAGCGGCAACATAAATTTCACACCATGGTAAAGCGAGTGGGTAAACATGCAGCCTTTATCATATTGGCGCCATATTCAAAACATAACTTACTTTAAGAGGATCCTGCTTATAACAAAAACAACTTACAGTCTATTAGGTCAAAGGAGACTTCATTAACAGCTGGAAGAGTTTTGGCAGTTAAGTATATTAACCCGTTAGTGACACAGCTTCAGAAAATGTTTTCATTCCTGGGGACCGGAGCAGTTTTGCTATGTGTTTGTTTAACCATAATTGCCATCTTCCTCATTTATTGCACCTACATATATTATATACCGTTTTTTAAAGGACAAAATGGCCGTTAATTGATGTCACATATGCATGTATAAATTCTTATTTTGTTTTATAAAAAAAATTTAAATAATAAAATGTGTACATCATTATTTTATTTGTCCTGAGTTACAGGTCACAAAATACAAGGAGTGAAATACAATTTTATTGTGGAACAATTTTAGAATGTGGTATGTTTGTCTCATATCTTCATTAGCCTCCTCAGCACTATATTTTCTTATAATTGTTTTTATTAAAGATAGTTTTTTTTTAAAGAATTGGCTTTTTTTTTTGTAGGAAGCCCACATAAAAAAAAAAACTGAAACCATGACAATAAACCACATAACCACTAAATCTAAACAAAACTCAAATAACAGTCCTACTGTAGACGAGAAAAAAAACAACATTGCTAAGCAATACAGTTCTCGCTTAAACAAATAAAAACAGAAGAGAACACTTCCCATGAGGGGAGGAGGGGGGGATACAAAGGTTACCATGACCTTCTAAACAGGGCCAGTAGCATAAATACTTTGCGATAGACTTGATCTCAGTGCCAATATAGCGGTTATCACAAAAGATTTACAACTATTGCATTATTGCAACGAGTGCTGATAGTCCGTTCAATCCTATTTATATTAGTCCAAATTTCAACAGTTGCTCTTTTAATCATAAATCCTACTATAGATTAATGATAATAGGACAGAGTTAAACCTCCTGTATAATTTCTCAGATAGCAATATACATCAAACATTAATGCATCCTTGTATTAAACCCATTCCCAAAGCTTATTATTGCAACTGTAGTTTGAAAAGGCTATATTTGCCACCCTGGAACTCTTCGTCTCTATAGTGTTTCCTGTGCCATATCTGGAAAGATTAACAGGCTAGCCCTATCAAAGTCAATCAATGGTATATTCCGAAGTTTGCGAATAACCTCTTCATCTCCTGCAATCTTCAAGATCCTCTAATTGTAGGCAGCAGTAGCATTATCGCCAATCTCTTATATCCTTCCTGCAACTCACAAATCACTTTATCATAGAGATATAATCTAGTTTCACATTCTTTTATCCTTGTTAGCAGATGGGAAAGGTAAGCCCGCAAATTAGCTAACTCTTGTTCAATGGAGTTTTCCAGCTCTTGTAGCATGCATGCTATGTCTGCTTTAGTTGGTTAGTCTTGTGTGTGTTCCGGGCCATCTGCTTTAGATGTACTCTCCACTGATTCCTCTTGCAAGATATGTGGTAGGGGATCCAGTTCACAGGGAGTCCCTGGAGTGTTCTGTACCTGTCAGGAGGGCCGTTCCGCTGGCATTCCCGGGCAAGAAGCCACTCCAACAAGACCACGCTGCACCTCCATGTCAGCTGCCAGGAAGCGTCTCAGTGAGCCAGTCCACTCCGCTCGTTGTCCCCTTTTGCCCATCCTCCGTGAGTGTCAAGTGCGGCTCTGCTTCATCAGACTTCAGCAGTTTTTCCTGCAACATGTCCGGCGTCATGTGCATCCACACCCCCCCGTGCAGCCATGTTTGACTTTTTAAAAACTTTTTTCCTTTTTTAACATTTTTTTTAAAACTTTTTTTTTAAACAAGTGGGCACTAAGGGGTTATTCTTTATTTACAGGGGCTTTGATACTTAGTATCGCTGAGAATACAGTATTCTGCTTAGAAATACTATGTATCAGTTTGTAACACACTGAGCTGGCTCACAGCCCCACAAAACAATGAGCTGCAATGCGGATCAGTGGTTGTCACGGCTCTGTGATCACAGCGATTAGCTATCACAGTGATAACAGGGCTGGGACCACCTAATCTGCTGTTGAGATTCTGTTAGAATACACATTAATGTGTTTATAGCAACAACTTCTGCAGTATACAATTTCGGTCACTAGATGGCAGTGTTTATAAATTCTGTTATACAGTATCTATGGTATATACTCTGTTGTATTAAAAAAACTTTTTTACCTTACTTTTTTTCAAGCCATGTGCAGCATGCATATCAGACAGTGTGCTTGTGTTTCTCTGTGAGGCTGTGCCAGAAGTTCCAACAGGGTCTGCCTCAGACCTCAAGGGACCCAGCAACAGCAGTAAATCAATGAACGCTGGTCCCACCACGGACCAGCGCTCATTGTACCACATGGCGGGATTATTCTGTCATCGGTCGTTAACGAACTGAAAGTCCATGACAGGATAATCCCATAATTGGTCGGGAAGGGGTTAATCATGTGAACACTTAAATTATTACTTCAGAATGACATAGATTTTGAGACAGGGTTCCCTAATGCTTGTATAATCAGAGACCTCTCTAATGTGAAGACCAGTCACTTTTTGCTATGGCTTCGGAATGGAAATGTATTTAATCAAAGGCCCATAACTATGAGAACCTTTTTTTAGTTTTACATTAATAACCAATAGACCATATTTGTATGCAATACATATTCTGCACTCAGAGTAAAACAACTTAACAAAAATGTTTGGCATATAATAAAAACATATAAAGCACCTAGTAACAGGATAATACTACACACACACACAATTATTTGCTTACCAGATTACTGCTGATTGAGCAACCTCCAAAAATAAATGCTATATTGCCTGCAACTGTCAAAGTATGTCCATACCTACATAATGGATAATGAGAAATAAGTATTAAACTGTGCTTATAGAGATAAAAAAATACTATGCATCAAACAAAAACGGAAGTATTGCAGCATGCAATGATACCTTTCTTATTGGACTAACATAATATTTAAAAGACAAGCTTTCGAGAGTTAACCTCTTCTTCAGATCAGAAGCAATAATAATCAACATGAAAGAGTTTTCCGCTTAAAGAAGCAAATAATCTCGTTGATCAGAAAAGAAACTCAGATCAACAGTGACATTAAAGGAGAACTATGAGGCGAGTGCTTTTCACTCACCTCATAGTTCTAGCCGACCTGTGAAAATGAGACTGTCACAGGTCGGCTCAGTAGATCCGGAGGTGAACAAACACATAATGGCGTTCGCTCACTTCTCGATCCTGTCACGGCTCTCTGCCGTGACAGGGGAGTGACTAGATTCCCCCCTCCCCGCTCCAATCCTCCAGCGCTGACTGACGGAACGGACGAGGGAGGGGGCGGGTACAGCTGGCTCTGCCTCTAGATAGGCAGAGCCAGCTGTCAATCATGCAGCTGGGCGGATCCAGACATAATTGTCGGGATCCGCTTCAGCTGCAGTGTCTCAGTATACCGCTGCGAGCTGTAGCTCGCGGTATACTGCGGTGTCTCAGTATATATACTGAGCTTAGGGTGACGGGAGGACGCTAGTTTGTGTCCTCCTGTTACCAAGTCACACCTTTGTAGTTCATCACGGGAGTGAGCTTGGAGCAGTAGCTACTTTACAACACACACAGCGATTTTGGGGAACAAAAGTAGCCACCCTCCAGAAGGAAGGACAGGACAGTGTCAGTATGGATTCAGAAATGATTTGAGGATCTACAGCTGAGTGATACACAAATGAGATACATTTCTGTTAATACTTAATATACTTGAATGTATTTTTAAGTAACTTCTAAGTTTAGTGTCACTTTAAGAGCATCTTTTAGCAACGGAACGTATCAAAAACACATTCAAACACACTCAGGGCCGGATTTACTCTCTCTGCTGCCACAAGGCCAGGTTCATCAATGTGCCCCCTCCCCGCATGGTTGAGATCACTTGTGCAAATGCACGCAGTTCTGATGCAGTTGTGTAAACTAGCCGGGAAAAAATGTGATAGGGATTTTATCAATTCCCTATTCAATCCAAAACAAAAAATGGCTTTACGGGAAGCCGGGTGGCGACTCTTTACACGCTGCCTGGCTGCCCGGGTAATCGGGAAGCCAGGTGGCGAGTCATTACACGCCACCTGGCTTCCTGAATGGGACTTCCGTTACTCGGTAATTGGTATCGGCGAGTACCGAAAAAAAATAATCGGTACTCGGTACCAAAATACCGGTATCGGTGCATCCCTACTTTAGATACTAATAATGTTTGGCTTTTTCAAATGTTTGGCCAGCACAGCAGGTAAATATTATCATGAATTTAACATAGATAAGTGGTATTACCAGACAAAAGTTGGACTTAAAAGGTTCAAGCCCGTGTCCGAGATGTTTTACATTTGTCACGCAATTCAGAATATACTGTATGTTTGACGATGGCAACAATGGAGCATCCTTGAAAGCATGTTGAAGGTGATCATATTTAACTCTGTATGGCTAAAGCATAGGTGTGCTTTAGCTCTGCCTAATACTAACCCAAACACATCCTGCACAGTGAAAGAATGCAGCTCCCATGGCCAAAACCACACATCGTTGACATTCTGGCATCAGCGCAAACTGATACACTCCTGCCAAGCGACAGTAATTGTGCAATAGGACCAGTGTATTCAAAGAGAACATCATTAACAAAGCATTATTGCAGTATATAATCTGTACAAATAACGTTATAAGAACATTTTCTTGACACAGTTACAACAATGTATAGCTTTAAACATTACTGTACAATAAAACATTTGATAATGTGGTCATTACACGTTAGAAAAGTACATAAAGTATATCCAAAACTATTTTTTTTTTTTCCAATTTGGACAGTAGGGAAGGGTTAAAGCCACTGTCTGTTTTTCCTTTGCAATTTGTGTGTAAGTAGAGAGATTTCTCTTTACTTCATGTCATGTAGCCTTAACTTTTCCATGTTTGAAAGTTCGAATTAAATCCGAACACGGGGATGTTCTGCCTCGTCATGGGCGAGGGGAGCGGAGATATGCTTGTGGCCCTGAACAGGGAACTTGCCTGTGAGATGGTGGGTGCTATTGTAGGATGGGTGTTGATCGAGGTAGGCAGGGAACACGACAGCCAGGGTAGGCCAGCCAGGGGAGCCGGAGAATCCTCCTCCTCCATGGAGACCCAGCTCTTGGTGGGGCGGTGGCAGCACCAATCCACATGCGAGTCAGTGAGGCTGCCTTGTAATACTTGGATTGATCTGGAAGGCCAATAACTCCTGAGTTTTTAGGTAGGGTGAGCACAGTGTGTCTCAGACGAGGGGGGGCATCAGCCCATATGAAACCATTGAGGAGTCGCCGCAGTTGGATGAAGTACGAGCTGGGGATGGATATGGGGAGGGCTTGAAATAAGTATAGGAATTTCGTCAGAACGTTCATTTTTAGGGAGTTTACTCTACCAAACCAGGAGAGCGTAATTGAGCACCATGCGAGCAGATTCTGTTTGTTTTTTTTAAGCAAAGGGACAAAATTAAGATCGAAAAGGGTCTTGTGGTCCGCAGAAAGGTGAGTACCCAAATACTGCAAGGAGCCATCAGCCCATTTAAAGGGGAATGTCGTGCGCAGGGTGTCAAGGTCTTGGGGGGACAAGGGCACGTTCAGCGCTGCTGATTTCGTTAGGTTAATTTTAAAGTTGGATAGAGAGTCATAAAGGGCAAACTCCTGCATTAAAACCGGGATGGAGACCAGGGGCTGAGCGAGGAAAAAGATCAGGTCATCAGCAAAAGCTGCTAGTTTATGTTTCCCCGACTGGGACTTAACCAGACCGTGTATGGATGGCAGGGCTCTAATTTTGCAGAGAAAGGGTTCAAACGTCAGGATAAATATGAGTGGCGAAAGTGGGTAACCTTGTCTCGTGTCGTTTGTAATTGGAAAGAAGGTGGATCTAGTTTCGTTCACACACACCGCAGCCGTGGGGTGGGAGTAGAGTGCCGAGATCCACTTCAGCATTCCTTCCCCTAACCCCACATGGATCAGGGTGGTTTTAAGAAAGTGCCAGTCCACCCGATCAAACACCTTCTCCGCATCCGTGGAAAGTAGCATCAGTGGGATCGAGCGCGATCTGGCGGAGTGGATCACATTGAGGACCCTGGAGGTGTTGTCACAAGCCTCTCTGCCAGGGACAAAACCCACTTGGTCGGTGTGTATGAGAGTAGAAACATGAGGCAAAAGTCTGTTGGCTATCATTTTAGCAAAGAGTTTCAGGTCCAAATTCAGTAAGAATATTAGTCGATAGTTGTGGCATTGATACTGGTCTTTGTCAGGTTTCGGGATCACCGCAATGTGTGCACGTAGCGAGTCAAGAGCTAAATGGGAGTCCGAAAGGATAGCATTATAGGCTGCAAGAAAGTGAGAGGACAGGATGTGGGAGAACCTTCTATAATAGGGTAAGGTAAGGCCGTCCGGTCCCGGTGCTTTACCCGTTTTAGAGTGTTTGAGTGCAAGGTTCAACTCCTCGTCGGTAAACGGCCTTTCCAGCAGGTCACTGTCTGACCGGGAGAGAGACGGCATTCCAGAGTCTGTAATATACGAAAGCGCCGTGTCAGCCGACTGCTCTCCATGGTCCCCATCTGTCCACGCGAGGTAATATAGATCTTCATAGTAAGTTTGAAATTCTGCCGCCATCTCCAATGAAGAGTAAAGCCTGCACCCCCCACTGGAAGTCAGGTATGGAATATAAGTCTTAGATCGAGGACCCTTAAGAGCCGTTGCCATAAATCTACCCGGTTTGTTGGAGAACTCGTACATCGACCGCTTGCCATTTTAAAAGGTGTCTCTGAACCTGAGAAAATAAAAGGCGGTTTAGTTCCAGTCAAACCTGGAGAAGTTCCCATGTTTGATCAGCACTCCCCGGATAACACATTTATGGGCTTCCCACAGGACAGGCGGAGTCATCGAGGTTGTGGCGTTTTCCAGGGAATATTTTCTCATTGAGGCTTCCAGATCTGCAGCGATCACTGGGTCTTGTAAGAGAGATTAATTGAGGTGCCAGGAAGATGACCGGGTCATCGGTGGGCCGAGGTCCATAAGAATATGGATTGGGGCATGGTCAGAGAACAAGATATTGCCAATCGAGGCACTGCAGATCAAGGAGAGGTCCGAATGTCGCACAAAGAAATAGTCAATTCGTGAATAGGTACAATGTACCGGGGAGTAGTATGTATAATCACGGGCATGCGGGTTGCGGATCCGGCAAACATCATTCAGGCGTAGTACATGTAACTCTGCCTTGAGCTGTTTAAGCCGAGAGTAGGAAAGATGTGAAGAGCCACTGGAAACGTCCAAGATGGGTTTCAACGCAAAATTGAGGTCCCCACCCACAATCACCAACCCTCTAATTCCAGGATCAATGGTACGACTCGACGTAAAAAGGACAGCTGGTCTGAATTTGGGAGGTAAAGATTTATCAAGGTAACCATGACACCTCCAATCAGCCCCTTGACAAAGATACACCTAACCTCGGGGTCCAGGCGGAGGTCGCGAAAAGACCATGCTACCGATTTAGTAATGAGCACGCTTACACCCTTGGATTTAGAGATGGGGGACGGGCAGTGGTAGGCGACTGGGAAGTCCCTGTTGCGGAGATGGGGGAACTTATTTTCCTTCAACTGGGTCTCCTGTAGGAACGCTATGTGCGTATTCGATTTCTTCAGATCCACCAGGAGCTGCAACCTCCTCTCAGGGATGTTGAGGCCCTTTAACATTGAGTGGGGTGACCAGAGTTCCGAGTAGTGGGGAAGTAGGAGAGTGCAGGGCGTTAGTACAGAGAGGATGTGAGTGGAGAGCAGAAAAGCAGGGGCCAGGGGAGAAAGAAGATGGGGAGTCA